AAACAATAAAATCTAAGAATTTAAATAAAACTAAAAAATATTCTTTTTAAAAGAGGAGTATTTATTTCTTTTTTTTCTTTATAATTTAAGTTTAGATATTATTGTTTTACACGATTATTTTCTTCCTAGTTAAATTTCAGATATTATCTGTACCTTTAAAAGTTATATTTCTTTAATTTCGTTTAATTTGTATGAACTTATTTATTAGTCAAAACTTATATAAAATTAAAAAGTATATATTATTATTTTTAAAACAATATAATCTAAATATTTAAAGAAATTTAAAAAAAATGCACGCCAGCGCTTTGCTCCCTCGGCCAGTTCGACTGTTGGAGCAACGTGAGGTAAAAAACAAGTGCTTTCTCTCAAAATAAATTTTCACCACGAGTGGTGAATGAGAGGGCTTTTTATTTCTAGGACTTTTGCGCCAGAATAACAAAAGTCTTTCAAACTATCTTGCCATCTGTCTTTAATTTGTCTTATGAAAGATTTTTTACAGCGCAATTCTGGCTAAGATAGACATAAGTCTTTCGTAAGAGAAACGAAAGACTGATGGCTAGATAGTTCGAAAGACTTTAAGCACCACTTGTGGTGAAACTCCAGAGAAAGCACTTGTATATCAGTTAGCTCGCGTCGCTTCAACAGTCGCAATGGTCGAATGAGCAGAGCACAGGCGTGCCGTTCGGAAGAGCCGAGTTTGAGATTCTGGCTGCGGAATTTTTTTTCATGTTTTTAAATTTAACTTATTTTCCTTTTTAATTAATTTAACAAAAAAAATGTAGGTTAGTTCCATTTAATTTTTAAAAGTATTTAGTTGAAATTTCTTTTATTTATTAATTTTAATTGTATCCAAAAGAAAAATATATACATTTGTTTTTTAATTTAACTTAATTAAAAAGATCTTATTGCTAAAAGGCGAACAGCACAACGCTAAGACCTCCTCGTTAGTAGAGCTTTGAAGATAGTTGCCAGAATTGACAATTGTCTTACGATAAACTTTTGTCTTTCGAGGTGAGTTGAGAGACAATTGACAGAATTGCGTTGTAAGTCTTACTGCATGGGCTCCTACTTATTGGAGAGTGCGCTGTCAAGACACCTGTCCATAATGCTGTCAAATACCGCCCGATGGGAAAATATAATGTATAGTAATCGAAAAAATGACCAGTAAAACAACCCTTTTCACATTCGAAAATGCATTTTTTCCCAGGGCGATGTCCTAAGAATAGTGGGGCATTCAATTTTGCAATACCTAGTATCCAGAAATGAATGTGTTTTAATATGAAATTTTTGGCACTTTTTGAATACATTAGCAGTAGTATTATCGAGAACGCATAAGAAATACATTATATTATTCACCACGCAAGAAATGCATTGCTACTTTGCCAACTTAGCGCGTTCGTGCACCGTTTAGAAGAAATTTCCGTAGAAACTGAAGACAATTCATTAACCACGCCAAGAACTAAGTTAAGCATAACTTTATCTTGGACATTCACGTCTCACAGGTCACAGGTATTTATTATTTTTTGTTATCTATGATCCAAAGCATTTGTATATATATTTTAGTTCTTTGTATAGAACCGAATAAAAAATTTGTAAATTTAAAAAAAAATTTTTTGAAGTGAAACTTCTTATTCGAGTTCGGAGATTGTTGCGTTAAACATTTAACACCATGTCGTAAAATCTGTATCGTTCGCTGATGTGTATGATGTGTAATATGATTTTAGTTTTTAAAGGGTTACCATATATATGAAGATGAAGATGAAGATGAAGATGAAGATGAAGATGAAGATGAAGATGAAGATGAAGATGAAGATGAAGATGAAGATGAAGATGAAGATGAA